TATGAAAAATCATTTAGTTTTGTCGACGTGCTTCATAGTAGAAAGGTACAGCAACAGACCAACGCAAAAGATCGAGTCCCGACCTCTCTAAGAACGGGTTCTTTTCTCCTGTCTGCCGCACATAAATCATTCATCATTTGCCGTCATCCCCAATGCAAACAATCTGTCTCGTAATTGGTGTATACAATACGAAGATAGCAAAAATTTTTCGGAGAGTTTGAGGATCAGGAGAATTTCTGGGTATAATTGCAAATAGATAATTGTGATTCTCAGAGGATAGAGGAGAAGAGTAGATCTTCTCACGTCTCCCCATAGAATGAGGATCTGACGGAGATATTGTGAGATTCTTGTTGCAGCGTCTCAGAATCGCTGGCAAAAATGATTGACGGTACGTGCATAACGCAAACGGGGACATTTCTGCCGACAACGCAGCCTTATTTTCACAAATAAATGATCGTCATAAAAGGTCATCCACACGCTGAATTGTAGCATCCGCGGATAATCCAGATCATCACTTTGCTGCGTCCCAAGTGTTATGTAGATGCGATATAGATTCGAATCTTGCAGTATGGAAATTGGTGCTTGACAGCGTCTGAGGGTTAAGGGGCAAGAATTAGAAGTTGGTGAGGATCTACACAGTGGCTAGCGAAGTATTAATTGTCGATAAGAGCAGATTAGCGCCGCCCATTCACAACAATTGCAACTAGTGTGTGATGGAGGTTTTGCTGAAGTGCACGGACTCCTGATAGCAGCAGGTTGGTCCACGACGGCGTGCACAGCATGTGGACGATATGATCTATCGTGTAGCACTTTCCACACGGTTCCCAATGTCAACAGGGTCGGATCAGTGTAATAGGCCAGATTTTTTTTATTCTGTAGGAAGTCAACGTTATAGAGCATGAAATTCAGCTGAGTTTCGTTTTTGAAGACCTCCGTGATTAACATGTGCGATCGATGCTTACAACAAATGGTGAACACTTGCCAGTTCCGCTTATATTATAAAAAAAACCCCGCAGCGCTGAAGTGGAATGTTGCAAAGACTGGGGGGTGCTTCTATGGTTTTAACTAACATGACACGATAATGCACTCATTCTTCTTGTAAGAAAAAAGGTGTGGCGACACACGGAGGGAAACTCTGACGACTTGCGCGCACGAGGTAAACTTGCTGCCTAGAGGAGGCTATACAAACATCCACCAAATTTATCAAAGTTAATTGATAAGAACAACTGTAACATAGAGAGAGATAATTTTTTTGCTTGTTCTTTAAAGGAATGTGGTACAAAACTAGCATCCATGCGTTCAGGGCACATCTTTTCGGGAGTAATGGTTGATTTCCCAGGCATTCATTTGCGAGCACGCTCAGGAGACAATTACTTATGTACTAAGAGAACATTTAGAAAAGCAAATATCCTTGCATTGGATTTTTATATCAAGGAGAAGCAGTAATGTAGCAGGATGTGAATAAACACCGCAATTGTGCTGACAGCGAGCAAAGCAAAAGGAGGAAAACACCAACCGAACGCATGAAAAAGACGCTGGAAAACATGTGACGATCGAGCACTTACGAAGTTTAACGGGAGGCTTCATGCTTGAGCGTTACATTGAGCAGTGTTTGTGATAAGGATCAAAACTAAACGTACAACCAGACATCGCGAGGAGGTTACTCTCTACTCGCCTTGCTCTACAAACAGTAAACATTTGTGGTTGATCATTCGATCGAACTGATAGACGAAAGTGTGCGGCAGACTCAGCAGCCGTATCAATCACTACAGACACACATACACACACACACACACAACGTTAGTCGCCACCGATGGCGTGTCAGACGAAGACGGCCAGGAAGAAGGCAAGGTGACAATGAAAAATCGCCAAAAATAGCGGGACTG